TAAAGTATATATCTCGCGGACTAAAATATATTAGTTGTCATTTTTTTACAGAAAATTTTTTTAAAGAATCTATATGGGTTTTAAATACTTTTCTCGTTAATAAAAACCTAATTTCTTCGTTTCTGTGAAACTTATCATACCAACGGTGCAAAAAAAAAATTTCTCAGGTTTTGCATCCAGGAAAATATTTATTCAAATTCAAAAATAATCGTGTATGTTGCTCTTTTTTATTTCATTTTTTTTTGTATTTTATGAATATAATTTAGCATGTATGTATCAGAAATTTTCTCGAAAAAATTCTCTGATTTAACTTTTTGAAACCACTCATTTTGGAGGAAAATATTTGCACACACATTTGTAAATTTTAAATTTAAAATGTAAATATCTATTCTCTGGTGGTTGCAGCAGACAAACCTCAATTTGGTGATTGAACATTTTGTGTGCTACTATGTAAGTTTTAATACCAACCTTTTTAAAGTTTTATATCTTGACAATTAGATATCTGTTGCACATTAATTGTTTAATGCATGCGTGCACATTAAAGTTATTGTAGCCCAAATCTTTTAATATGCAATTAAATATTTTTAAAAATCTACTTCTTATTTTAATTTGTAATTCAATACTTTTATTTTGTACAACTTGGTAAAAATCTGACAGTAATATATAATGTTCCTTCAAGCTTCTACATAAAATTTTGACAAAGTTGAGGCCCCCCACTTGATTTGTGTTTTTAATTGTGGCCCCCGGCCTCATGTAAGTTGGAAACCCCTGGTCTAGACAAAAGAGGGTATTATAATGTGAAGTGGTTATATCGTAAGTGCACAATAATACAATAAATATGTACTCATAACTAAAAAAACACTTAATTTATTATAATAAAGCAATGCTTTACTTTAATCAGAATTAAGTAATTAATGGAATAATTGATAATGACTAAATTTTTTTAATGTTCATGGGTCTGTCTATATGTACTTTTTTGGTGGAAAATGCATTAAAAACAATACACTGGTTAGGGTTTCAAATTTAAACCACACAGAGACTAATGTATTATGAAAAATATTGAATGCATTTTC